GGCCTCTGAGCTCTTTGTAACATTCACATTGTGCTGTCCACAAAGAAAAATGCATTTTTCAAAAAAAAAAAAAAGAAAAATGCATTTTTCAGTTTCTTCAAGGAATCTTACTGTTACCTTATGTTGATAGTTTAAAAAATGTATTTGGCTTTCATAAGTGATTTCAGAGTGTAAAATTTTAAACTTTTTTTTCAGTGCTCAGCAAAAAACCTGAAGAACATATCAGAGCTCTTTTATTATGCACAGAAAGCTGTTCTTCATCCTACAGGGCCCCTGTACTGCCCAGAGGAGAAGGAGGTAACCCCTCAGGCTGTGTTTATAGGGGCTGGAATGTGTAGGTAGTAACTCCAGTACGGTAGAGATTTTTGGTAACTCTAAAGTAGTGTTGTAAAGATAAAACTGCCAAAATTTAAATTTATTGCTTACTAAATCGTTACATTTTCTAGGTACCTTTCTTCAATGACATTCACATTAAATACTCAGAATATTTTCCAGATCAAGCACTACTCCAGGAAGTGCCATTAAAACAAGCAGGAGAATTGACAACTGTAACAACAAAAAAATCCAAAAACTTAGTTAATGATCTATTTGCTTTGCTATTATAAAATCTACAAACTTAAAAATATACACAAACAAAAAACTTGTGTAGTTTTTTGACATGGGTGCAACATGTAATACAACTTGAATATTCCCTTTTCTTTTATAGCTAAGAAACACAGTAATTCCTTATTTAAATATCTAAAATTTAACTATTTTGCTATAAACTTTGGAGAACTGATTAAATTTCTTGACATATAACTCACATACCATAAAATTCACCTCTTTAAAGTGCACAATTCAGTGGATATATGTATATTTATGAATATACAATTAGTATATTCATAAAGTTATGCAGCCATCCCCACTATCTAATTTTAGAACATTTTATCACCCAAAAGAAAACTCTATACCCGTTAGCAGTCACTCTCCGTTCTCCCCTTACCCCAGCTCCTGGCAATCACTAATCTACTTTCTGTCTCTATGGATTTGCCTCTTCTGGACAGTTCATATAAATGGAATCATGCAATGTGTGGCCTTTGTTTCTGGCTTCTTTCACTTAGCATAAAGTTGTCAAAGTACATCCATGTTACAGCATGTATCAGTATTTCATTTCTTTTTATGGCCAAATAACATTGCATTGTATGGATATACCACATTTTGTTCATCCCTTCCTCTGTTGATGGATATTTGGGATAGTGTCTATTTTTTGTGCATTATGAATAGACTGCTGTGAACATTCACGTACAAGTTTTTATTTGAACACTTGTTTTCAGTTCTTTTGAGTGTATATTTAGGAGTGGAATTGCTCAGTCACATAATAATTGAATGTTTAACTTACTGAGTAACGACCATACTGTTTTTCACAGTGACTGGACCATTTTACATTCCCACCCGCAATGTATGAGAGTTCCAGTTTCTCCACATCTTTGCTTACATTTTTTATTTTACTTTTTCTTTTCTTTATCTTTTTTGGTTTATTGTGGCCATCCTAGTAGATGTAATTGGTATCTTATTGTGATTTTGATTTGTGTTTCCCTGTTGGCTAATGACGTTGATTACTCTTTATTACGCTTACTATTTATTACTTTTTCTTCCTCGCTCAGCCAGTGGGCGGGAACCGGTCTGTATGTGGGATCCGAACCCTCGGGGGGGAGCGCCGCCGCGCTTCCCAAGCGGTGCACTATCCAGTGCGCCACCGGGCCGGCCCCTTCCCTTTTCTTTTATAGCTAAGAATCACAGTAATTCCTTATTTAAATATCTAAAATTTAACTATTTTGCTATAAACTTTGGAGAACTGATTAAATTTCTTGACATATAACTCACATACCATAAAATTCACCTCTTTAAAGTGCACAATTCAGTGGATATATGTATATTTATGAATATACAATTAGTATATTCATAAAGTTATGCAGCCATCCCCACTATCTAATTTTAGAACATTTTATCACCCAAAAGAAAACTCTATACCCGTTAGCAGTCACTCTCCGTTCTCCCCTTACCCCAGCTCCTGGCAATCACTAATCTACTTTCTGTCTCTATGGATTTGCCTCTTCTGGACAGTTCATATAAATGGAATCATGCAATGTGTGGCCTTTGTTTCTGGCTTCTTTCACTTAGCATAAAGTTGTCAAAGTACATCCATGTTACAGCATGTATCAGTATTTCATTTCTTTTTATGGCCAAATAACATTGCATTGTATGGATATACCACATTTTGTTCATCCCTTCCTCTGTTGATGGATATTTGGGATAGTGTCTATTTTTTGTGCATTATGAATAGACTGCTGTGAACATTCACGTACAAGTTTTTATTTGAACACTTGTTTTCAGTTCTTTTGAGTGTATATTTAGGAGTGGAATTGCTCAGTCACATAATAATTGAATGTTTAACTTACTGAGTAACGACCATACTGTTTTTCACAGTGACTGGACCATTTTACATTCCCACCCGCAATGTATGAGAGTTCCAGTTTCTCCACATCTTTGCTTACATTTTTTATTTTACTTTTTCTTTTCTTTATCTTTTTTGGTTTATTGTGGCCATCCTAGTAGATGTAATTGGTATCTTATTGTGATTTTGATTTGTGTTTCCCTGTTGGCTAATGACGTTGATTACTCTTTATTACGCTTACTATTTATTACTTTTTCAAGTTCTTATCAGCCATCTGTATATCTTCTTTGGAGAAATGTCTATTCACAGTCCTTTGCCCATTTTTTAATTGAATTATTTGTATCTTTATTATTGAGATACTGTTTTTAAGACAAAGAAAGTTGCAGATTTCTTTCAGGAAAAGTTTATGGTATAGGTGAGTGGTTGGAAAACTGTGACCCATTGTCTGAATTTGGCCTGCTACCTGTTTTTGTACAGCCTGTGAGCTAAGGATACATTTTACATTTTTTTCTTAATGATTGAAAAAAAAAGTGAATAATATTTTGTGATATGTGAAAATTAATATGTTCAAATGTTATCATTTCATACATAAAGTTTTATCGTAACACAGCNTGCCCATTTTTTAATTGAATTATTTGTATCTTTATTATTGAGATACTGTTTTTAAGACAAAAAAAGTTGCAGATTTCTTTCAGGAAAAGTTTATGGTATAGGTGAGTGGTTGGAAAACTGTGACCCATTGTCCGAATTTGGCCTGCTACCTGTTTTTGTACAGCCTATGAGCTAAGGATACATTTTACATTTTTTTCTTAATGATTGAAAAAAAAAGTGAATAATATTTTGTGATTTGTGAAAATTAATATGTTCAAATGTTATCATTTCATACATAAAGTTTTATCGTAACACAGCCATGCTCATTCATTTATGATTGTCTTTGGCTGCTTTTATACTACAAAAGTTTCATCAGAGCTTATGTGTGGTACTCTCATCACTTCTCACTGCTGCTCAGTGCACTACTAATTGCACTGACACAGTTATAACTGAACAGCATTTCAATTACCATGTGTATCACTCTCCCATGACATTTTATTTATTGTTGGTGTATACCCATTCTCCCAAAACAAGAAAACAGTGGATTTTTAGATGGCAAGGCAGGTAAATTTTCCAAGCCCAAGCTGCAGTTCCAGCATCTTATTTTTGGCCTTGATGCAAGTGCAAAGAAAATTTTCATATTTCGTAATTTATTTAGCTGTGCAGTTGAGTTTCCACCTAACCTTCAATTGGAACTGATTAATCTGCAGTGTGACAACATGCTAAAAGGCAAATATCAAGAAAAGAATCTAATATAATTCTATAAATGCCTTCCAAGCAACAAATGTGCTCCATTAAAATAATTGGTTTGTGGATATGTATCAGTATTGGCAGTATATATTTGTGCAAAAAGACATTTTCAAAGATGAACCACATAAAATCTCATTACAGATCACCACTAACATAAGAACATCTGCACTTAATTTTCATGGCAGAGAACACTAACTTTGAACCCCAGTTAAGCAAAAATGTTATCCCTCCAAAAAATTCCATTCTTCCATTAATAGACCTTTGTAGCAGAATTATACTTAGTTATTGTTATTACTATATTTTTAATGTAATCAATAAAAACTTTGTGGAAATTTGATTTCTCTTGCTATAAAAATACTTACATGATATCCCTGATTTTGTCTTTTGGTCCCCAAACCTAAAATACTTGCTATGTGGCCCTTTAGAGAAAAAGTGCTGAACGCTGGTATGAATAATTAATCTGAGTTATTCCTTAGTCTGACCCTGGTTTACTCTTATTCCTGATTTACTATTTCTTAATTGGGACGATTCTTTCTAAGCTACCTTTAACACAGTATTTCCCCGACTTGCCTCATCATAACAGTCATGAGGTATATTTGTTAAAAATGGATTCCATTCTCATTTAATCAGGTGCTGTATATTATGATCAAGGAAATTTGGGAAACAGTCTTATACTATGGGAATTTACCTCTGAGGCCTTTAGCCAAGTGCTACATTAAATCTCTACTATTAGTTTGTTCTCAATTCTTTAATTGCTACTTCGTTCTCAGGCCTATTTTTAGTTCTGCTAATCTGCTAATCCCCCTGTCTCTCCCCTAGTCCCACAAGAGTGAAACATTTACCACCATCTGTTATTCATTTCTTAGGTGGACTTGACTGATAGGTAAAATTTTCTTTTCTTTTTTAGTTTTGCTGGGAGTTTTATTAAAAATTATAAGGAACATATCACTTCAATCTTATGCATTACTTCAGAGTAAGAAAAAGCAGGAACATTCATCAATTTGTTTTATGAAACTAGCATAAACTTATAATAAGACCCAAAAAAGTGAAATTGTAGGCTAACCTCATTCAGAAACATAGAGGAAAAATCCTAAATAAAAGAATAACTCCAGCAATATAAAAAGATAGTGCATTTTGATTCAGTTTCTTTTATCCTAGAAATTTCAGGTTAATTTGATGTTAAGTTAATTAACATAATTTACCACTTAACAAATTAAAGAGAAATATATGATTATCTCAATAGATGCAGAAAACAAATTTTATAAAATTTATAATAAAAATTATTAGCAAATTAGATAAAAAATGGAACTTCCTTAACCTGAAAAGGGGTGTNCCTGAAGAAAAGAATAAGGTGTAGAGATTTGCCCTACCAAGTTTTAGAATTTTAGAAAAGTAATAGCAATTCAGAAAGTATGGTATTGGCACAATACTGGGCAAATAGATCACTGATACAGAATAGAGAGCTTAGAAAAAGAATAACACATATACAGAAACTAGATTTGTGATAAAACTTATATGAGGA